AAAAAAAAAAAAAACATACCTGTTGTAGGGGTCTGGAGGAGCGAGGAAGCTCGTGGTGGAAAACCGCCCGTGCAGTTTATCAGCTGCACCCATCTCCAGCTGGGGCCGGGTGACGTCATGAAGAGACACCACCCGGTGAAGAGAAAAAAAATCAGCCCCAAAAGTGCGGGAGAGAGGACACCGAGGATCGGAGGAGTGGCGGGAAACTGTGGGGTGGAGAGTGTCCAGCCGCTGTGATCGGCAGCCACAGCAGTGACAACCGGAGCTGCAAGGGATCCCCGAGCTGGGGAAGACCGGCAGGGATCAAAAGAGCTGGCAGAGAGGCTGGCAGAGGCTGCGGCAGCAGGAGCTGCGGGGGACCCACGTGCCGGAGAAGACCAGAGGGGAATCAAAGGAACCACCAGAGAAGTCGGCAGCAGCTACAGTGAAAGCCGGTGTGGGAGCTCCCTTCAAAGGCAACGGGTGCAGCGGCTCCAGGGTGGAGGCGGATTTTGGAGGGAAGGGGAGAGAGACCCTGGCTGGGGTGAAGGCACAGACCCCAACCCAGAGGGCGTGCTAGCCTAGGGGTGTTAAGGGCATTAGGGGCTAGGGGAGCATGGGACTCTCCCTGTGGGTGCTCATCTTCCTTTTGTTCTCCCTTTTGCTGTACTTCCCTGGTAGTCGCGTTGTTAGTTTCATTAGTTTGTTTCACATCGGGTCTTTTCAGGGCAAGGGGTTTTTGGTGAGGGTATCGACTGTGTTACCCTTTTAGGGCTTATCTGTTTCAGTTACCTGGTGACAGCAGATTAGTGGAGCTCTTAGCACCAGGCTAGGGTAGACAGGATTTCGTCTAAGGGTGAGAAAGGAACCACGTGAGAACACAGTGAGGGCCAACGGCATCAGACACAGAAGGCTCAGGTCAAAGAGGACAAGCCCAGAAGCCAAGACTCACCAGACCCTCCAGGTCTGGCCAGGGCCCAGGTTGCTTGTCTGCAAGAGGGGACATGGGGACCGGGGAAGACATCAGCAGGGGACAGCCGCAAAAAGATTTGGAGGCTCGTCTCAAAGGTTGGTGCATGGTCGGGGTACAGGGGAGATTGAAGCCCCGTGAATGTCCTCCAGGACAGTTGACAGCTCTGGAGGCATCCTCAAAGGGGACCCTCTTCACTGAAGGAACATTCAAAGTAGTGGCAGGCGAGTTTGGGGGTCACCCTGAAGGTAGCCAAGGTACCCTCTGGTTTCTGCATGAAGGTCCCTGGCGAGCAAGGTCAGCGGCTCGGGCAAAGGCGGTGCGAGAGCAAACCATTGAGAGGAGACAGGCACAAAGGTTTTGCATATACATCTTTGACGCTTACCAACTGCTGTTGTATGACCCCCCAGTGTTGCAGTATTGACGTTGTTGATAACTACTTTTGTTACATGATGTAATGAAGATGCACATACCACACAATAAAGTTGCTTTCCCTCCCCACAAGAAGGCCAGAATCCAGAACAGGAGATTGAGAGGAAACAGTCAGATGACTACTACATCTTGTGAGAAATATGTAAGCCTGTCCATCAGTAACGACCTGGTAAATTACCTCAAAATGCCCCCAAAAAGTATTCCAAAAATAAAAACATATACAAGTCATTACTTGAAGCATGGAGCAAGATGCCTATAAGAATTTGTAGTAGGATATATAACGTTTCATCTTTATGTAACTAGTATTGGTTTAACTGGGGTCTTGTTGATTAACAATTAGGAAACATAAGAGTTTTCTCCCAGGATCAATCCAAGAAATTGAGATGAACTCCCCAGGAATTAAGGACAATCACAAACTTTGCATGCAAAAAGTTTTTCCCCTTCTCTTTGCTAACAAAGACAAGGCAACAAGTAAGTGCACAGGCAACTTTGAAAAGAAAACTTTTCAGTCCAGAGCCGAGGTTCCCAAACTTTTTCTTACTGCATACCCCCTTCCAGCTTTATCAGCTGCCTGTGTACCCCTACTAGCGTATATTTTATATTTTAACCCCTTAAATGCCATTTATTATTATAAAGAAAATTAAAGCTGCCATTACACAATTTCTCCCCTCAGAGATGTCTTGCATACTCCCAGGGGTACGCGTACCATAGTTTGGAAACCTCACACTAGAGGAAGGTGCTCAGATACTATTGAGGCAGGCACAATATGTGAACCTTTACAGAATGGAAGCAGCATTACCAGTTGATTATTTAGAGAGCCACGTGAAATGTGTCTATTTACTCAAACTACTAGAATGGGCTTACATATCACATCACCACAACTGAAGCCTTATTAATAGATTAATCCAAGTGGGTATTTGGTACCAAGGACTGCTCATTCAGTATTTGTGTTTTGGACAAAAAAGATCTTAGTCTCCAAAATGGTTAGTATCACACTGGCCACGAATAATTTAAAATTCTCAAATCTTTCTATAATTGAACCTGCTAAGATTTTTAAAAAAGGTAAAAAACCCCATGCATTTAATCATTCTAACTATTTTATTACAATTATGGTACCTACTACACAGGCTTACTATT